CTGCGTCTGCGGCCGACGCCGAACAAAGAGGGACTCTTTAATGTTGCGGTGGCCTGAGTCCTTCCGCCGCCGGCGTTCGCACAATAGTGAGCGCTGCGCTCCCGGCCGCCGGCGGTGCTCCTGCGGCGTCTCCCGTAGAGGAAAGCGTCGTGTCCCGTAGACATTGCTCGCTGCACCTTGCCGCGCCGACTTCCTTTCCGGGGAGAAAACTTTACGTTTCTTCTGTCTTCACCCTGATGCCTGCTGCTGGAATTTCCTTCAGCCGGCGGAAGACCCGGGATGTCACAATTAAATGTATTCGGCGGTGATGGACCAGCCCCAAATTCCTTTCTGATCGGGAGCTGCTTGTAGAGAAGATTTTTGGACTTTTTTTTTCCCACTGACGATGAAAGGTTTTTCTGTGTATCTGCCTTGCAATCGTCCCTAATTGTGATGAAATCTGAGAATAATCCCGTGCAAAGTGGTTTATTTTAGGAATACAAACTTTTTCCTACAAGGGCAGACCTGCCAATAGACTGCTGCGGACAGGGGTCCCAAGTGACAAAGTGCACGCTGGTCTCTCTCTCTCTAACTTAGATACAACCCAGCTCCTCTTAGCAGCCACGCGTGGTCCCTTTGTGTATAAATTTGTCAAAATATTTTGTAAATTGATTTATGCTTTTGTCTCATATTACATCACAGGGATAATTAATACCATGCTTTCTCTCTCTGCAAAAATACCTCTTGTGGCCTGAACTTACTTTACTCATATTTCAAAAGGGATTCCCTCAGCCTCTGATCTCAGGATTTAGCAAATAAACATTCATTTTATCCACACCATTAAATATTTAAAATATTTTAGTCATACTCTTCCCCTCTTTTGCTTCTCCTGACTAATGATCCTAATTAGATTTTTAAGTCTGTCTTCTTACCAGAGCCTCAGCCTATTTGCTACTTTTCAAGTTTCACTTTCTCTGAATTCTATTATAACAATTTTTCATAAATTCGGCTTCAATGCCCTTCACACTTTTGGTTGAGGAGAGTTTTGACTTAAAGTAGATGCAGTCCAAAAATAAAGATGTTACACAAACAGGTATATTTGCTGTGCAACTAAGCCTCATGATAGGACATCAGTTTGGGAGAACATTGGGTGGAAGTTCTCCATGTTTCTCTCAAGTGGTCATCAAGCCTCAACTTCAACATCTTCAGTGGTTCAATACCTCAGAGGCGGTCTTTAATCATTAGAAAATTCTCCCTTATATAGATGTACAATCTGCCTTCCTATAATTTCCATTTACTGGTATAATTTTGACCTCTTCAGCCACACAAAAGTATTCTAATCCCTTAAACATTAGAGAAGTCACTGATCCCTATTTTTTTAAGCTTGTTTTTCTGTGTAAACATATGACTGCAAAGTGCAATCATTTAATGTAAGGAAACCAGGTGTTCAGGGGATCAAAGGCACTAAGGGAGTCACAGTAAAATATAAAGAATACCTGTTACTGTGGTCTTATACATTTTTTAACTAAGCAACATGCAAAGGATTAACAGTGGTTCTCAACCTTCCTAATGCCGCGACCCTTTAATACAGTTCCTCATGTTGTGGTGACCCCCAACCATAAAATTATTTTCGTTGCTACTTCATAACTGTAATTTTGCTACTGTTATGAATCGTAATGTAAATAACTGATATGCAGGATGTATTTTCATTGTTACAAATTGAACATAATTAAAGCATAGTGATTAATCACAAAAACAATATGTAATTATATATGTGTTTTCCGATGGTCTTAGGGGACCTCTGTGAAAGGGTCGTTCAACCCCCAAAGGGGTCGCGACCCACAGGTTGGCGACCCACAGGTTGAGAACCGCTGGATTAGGACTTTAAGAAGGAACAAATGTCAAGTCTCTCAGAAGTGCAAAGTAAAATAACTCCAGTCAGAGTCAACTGTGCCCTTTATTCTTATTATTTATCTCTGTGAGGGTCATTAGAGTTCACAAAAATTATGCTTGTTCTGTCTTCCCGACACGTAGTAAAATAGCACTTTCTTGCACCCTTGAAGTTAGGCATGGCCATGTAACTTGCTTTTAACAATAAAACGGGAAGGTAAGTGATATCACTTCCTAGGAAATTTGTAAGAGGCAGAGGCACAGTCCCCTCCCCCCTGCTGTGGTGACCATGTGTTGATATAAAACATCTGTCACTTTGAGTCCCTAAGTGACAATAAGCAGAGATTAGAGTTGTGCAACCATCACCACAATCCAGTTTTAGAACATTTCCACAACCCCCAAAATAGTCAGTATGCCCATTTTTTAAAAATATATTTTATTGATTTTTTACAGAGAGGAAGGGAGAGGGATAGAGAGTCAGAAACATCGATGAGAGAGAAACACCGATCAGCTGCCTCCTGCACACCCCCCACTGGGGATGTGCCCGCAACCAAGGTACATGCCCCTGATTGGAATCGAACCCGGGACCCTTGAGTCCACAGGCCGATGCTCCATTCACTGAGCCAAACCGGTTAGGGCAGTATGAGTCTTTGTGTAGATATTTGTTTTTATTTTGCTTGGGTAGATTCCTGGAAGAGGAATTGCTTCATCCTATGGTAAGTTTATTATTAACTTTTTAGGATACTGCTGAACATTTTTCCAAAATTCAAGCAATGTGTAAGTGTTCTTATTCCTCCACATCCTGACCAATACATACTTGTTATTGTCTATATTTTTTATTTTACTCACTTTAATGGGAGGGAGGTGGTTTTTTCATTGTGATTTCAATATATATTTCCCTAGTGACTAATGATTTTGAGCATTTTTTTTCATGTGCTTATTAGCTCTTCTTAGGTCTTCTTTGGTAAAGCATATATTAAAATCTTTTACCCATTTTTTTAACTGGGCTGTTTGTCATATTATCAAGTTATGAGATCTTTATATATCCTGGATACAAGTCCTTTATCGAATACATGATTTGCAAATATTTTCTCCCAGTCTAGCTTATCTTTTCATTTTCTTAATAATATCTTTTGAAGCACAATGTTTTTTAATTTTGATGAAATCCAATTTATTTTTTTTAATACCATATGCTTTAAAAAATTTTTTAAGATTTGTTGTTAATCCTCACCCGAGGATACTTTTCCTTATTTTTACAGAGAGTGGAAGGGAGAGGGAGAGACAGAGAGAAACGTCGATGTGAGAGAGACACATGTATTGGTTGCCTCCCACACGCACCCCGACCAAGCCTGCAATCGAGGTACGTGCCCTTAATGGAATCAAACCCAAGACCTTTCAGTCTGTGGGCTGACTCTCTATCCACTGAGCCAAACCAGCTAGTGCAATGCCACATGCTTTTGATCTCATATCTAAGAACTCTTGGCTTGACTCAAGATCACAGAGATTTTTCTATTATGTTTTCTTATAAAACTGTTATAGGTTTAACTCTTATATTTGAGTATATGATCCATTTTGGGGTATACTGTGAGGTTTGGGATATACTGTGAGGTATTCATCTTTTTTGCATGTAGATATTCAATTGGAGAAATAAGTTTTGATGTGTTAAGCCACTGCAATTTGGAGTTATCTGCCACCCATCTACTCTGACTAATATAATCTAGATATGTTAATATGTAACAGAACTCAGAAATAGCATTGAATTCTCTTCCACAATCAGAAGCAAAAATGACAAATATGAAAATTTGAGCAGAACATTAAAAACATTAGGTAATTCTTACCCTGGCCAGGTGCCTCAGTTGGAGAGTCGTCCCATACAAAAAGGTTGTGGCTTTGATGCCTGGTCAGGGCACATATCTAGGTTTTGGGTTTGATCCTCATTAGGGGTGCATATAAGAGGCAACTGATCAATGTTTCTCTCTCTCCCTTCCTCTCTCTCTAAAATCAGTGACTGTGCCCTAGCCAGTTTGGATCAGTAGCTAGAGCATCGGCCTGCAGACTAAAGGGTCCCAGGTTTGATTCCAGCCAAAGACGCAAACCCAGGTTGTGGGCTCAATCCCCCCCAGTAGGGGGCATGTAGGAAGCAGCCAATCAATGATTCTCTCTCATCATTGATATTTCTATCTCTCTATCTCCCTTCCTCTCTGAGAGCAATAAAAAAATATATAAAAAAATAAAAATAAAATCAGTGAATCCTCAGGTGAGGATTAAAAAAAAAATTAGGTAATTCTCAAAGTTTATCATTGAAAAGTCACATATTTCAGTGATAAAATATTATATTTATAATCCTACAAGCTCGCAATTATTAGCTACTAGAGGCCCGGTGCACAAAATTCTTGCACGGGTGCAGTCCCTAGACCTGGCCAGCGATCGAAGTGCAAGTGTCTGGCATGGAAGGGCAGGTCCCAGCTGATCTCTGGGCCCTGGAGCACCTGGCCCCCCGTGCATCCCCATCCACCTGAGTCATTGGCCCTTGTCCAGCTCCCTCAGCACCTGGGAGCTGGGCGGCAGCCCTGCCCCCTGCCGCCGCCGCTGGTCACTGCCTGTGAGGCAATCGGCAGGGCGGTCAGGCCCCTCTCACACCCACCTTGGCCTGGCGCCGCCCACTCACCTGCTCCACCATCCCACGGCGGGCCCGCTCTCATTGGAGCCCATCGGGGCCAGCAGTGCCTCCACTGCTGCCCGCTGCTGGCACTGTGTCACTGACGCCCACCATGTTTCGCACCACCCCCTGGTGGTCAGCGCACATCATAGCAAGCGGTCAAACTCTTGGTCAAGGGGACAAATTGCATATTAGGCTTTCATTATGTAGGATTACTCTTGTGCAAAAGTACAAGAAGACCTTTAATGTTCATTGTGCAGAGATAGAAATGCAAATAATCAGACAAGTCAGAGAAATCAAAGAAAGACATTCTGAGTCCTTACAGAGTTTGCTGTCACTGGTCTGAAAAGGGAAAAAGATCTGAAACATTAAAAAAAAAAAAGTTTCCGTAATAAATCAAAAGGATTTGTTAAAATTCCTTTC